GGACTCGATCCAGGGACTCCAGGATCATGACCTGAGCCGAAGGCAGTCGCTTAACCAACTGAGCCACCCAGGCGCCCAGTACTGTCTTGGCTTTTAAAAATAACACACAGAGGGGCCAATTCTTAACCCAAAGGAACGGCTCACCCATGGTGGGGTTTTAAGCACCGTGAGGGAGACGCTGGAGGTGATGGGGCTGGTTCTGTAAGGAGCTGCCCGCCCTGCTTGCCTGTGGACAAGGCCCCACTGGTGTTTCAGTGTGTCCATTCTGTTGCTCCCCCGCCTATGTCTGTGGGATACTGCATGTTCCTGAGGACAGCCGTCTCTCTGGCTAGTCCCCAGCACAGCCCCGGGGGTGGGGTGAGGCCGCGGACCCCAACTTGGGAGGGATAGCCCAAGCTTTGGAGGCACATTCAACACGCCCTACGCCATGTGCGCCCCAGGACTTGCAGCTTCTGCTTCCCTTTCCCACGTGTGGGGAGAGGTGAGTTTCTCTCTGGCCCTGGGGCACAGTCCTTCCTGTGGGAGCCTGCCCCACCTCAGCCAAGGTCCTGGGTCCAGCCCTTTCCCACCATGGAGAAAATAGCAAGAAAAACAGATGAGAACTGATACCCTAAGCTGCAGGTCTGCTGGGACCTGGCCCTGGAGGAGCCCCAGGAAAGCTTTAACCCTGGGGCTCCAGGCCGTCAAGAAGGGCGAGGGGAGGAGGGGAGTGGGCGCCTCCCTAGTGAGAAGCTGCTTCCTCCCTTTCTCGCACTTGGGTCAGTGTCGGGACCCACCTCTTCTCTCAGTGGTCATCATTGCTCAGATGTGTGTCCTGGGCAGCCTCCCCCCACCCCCAATCCCCAGGCTGGATGGCAGCACAAGGTCACCTTGTCCACCCTCCTATCTCTGGGCATACCCTCCTTGAATAGGGTCCAGATGTTCCCATTCTAAAGCTCTTAGGAAGGGGACATTCGCAATCTGCCAATCATCCCATATCTAAGTGACCCACAGTGAGCCTGGTGCCCAGGAGGAGAGCTGGTCTTGGAGTCTGGAGACCTGGGTAAGTTATTGGGCCATTTCTGGGCCTGGGTTTCCTAATCTGTGAAATGGTAATCCCATTATGTCCACAGGGTGGTTACGGGGATGACCTGAGACATGAATGTAAAGGGCTTTGTAAACAATAAACATGATATAAATCATACGTGTGACAGGCCGTGACCCGGGGCGGGGGGGCAGGGAAGGGCAGGTGCCTGGCCTCCATCCTTCCTCCTGCCACTGCAGCCTGATTAGGTCCTGCTGAGGCTCACCCTGGAAACCTGCCCCCCACCCCAACCTCATGACAGCCATGGCAGTGTCCCTCAGCCTTCTGTCTCGGCAGAATGATCTCTGCTCCTTCGGTCTTGCTCTGTGGATTCACCCAGAGCTTCTTTCACCATAGGGTGTGTGGGGAGCCCTTTGAGATCATCACTAACAAGCCCTGAGCCAGATATTTGCAGAGCCGTTAGGCCCTGTTGGCTGAGCATCTAGAGATACGGGAGGATTTCCAAGCGTGAGTGTTACTAGGGGCTTGGACGGGAGGAGCTCGGGCACAGGAATATTGGTGGGGTGTTTACAGACTATTTCACTTATGTTGTCTCATCTGGTCCTTAGTCTCTGAAGTGGGTCCACTGTCTCATTTTACTGAGAAAGAGTTGATCTAGTAGGTTGCAGATTGACTTCTAGTGTGTGCACCAGGCTGGCCCTCCTGCTGGGGACCCAAGAGGCGGGAATGGGCTTCAGTTGCAAGATAGCAAGGATTATGTGTAAGAAAACTTAAGGAGGCACAAGTGAACTGGGGGCCTTCAAGGCACCTTGGTGCTTTGGGGAAACAAGGGCCCTGTGATCACAGAGTAGGGGAGGGGACACCACACTGACGTGTTGGAATCATCTAGGTTCCTCCCTTTCCCATTGGAACGATGAGGAGATTGGAAAAGAGCTTCCATGATCCCTTCTAGTGCTTGCTTCCTTGATGGGATGGGGGGATCTGGTTTCTCCCACCCCCCCAAGTCATTCCCTTCCCCCCTCCCCGTAAAGCCTTCCCAGATCAGTGGGCTGTGGTGCATGGAACGGTGTCCAGGGTGAGAGGGGCCATAAGTATCATCACTGTGAAGAAGAAAGCCACCGATCCTGCAGCACACGACAGAAGAAACCAAAGTCGGAGGGAGGCCTCCGCCTTCACCCCCATGGGTCTCAGTAGCTGCTTACAGGCTCAGGGGGGCACTCCATCCATCTCAGAAGCCACACTGGAAAATAAACTGGGCAAGCTGAGCCCAGCTGCACTGAGCTGGCTCCCCAGCACCAAGCCGGGTGGGCCCCAGCCCCTGGCACTCTCTCCAGGGTGGCGTGTGGGCAGAGGACGCGCTGGCTGCAGGCTGCACTGGTTTAAAGGGAAGTGGGGAGCTCCCAGGACACTGTGTTGTCTGCCTCTTCACCCAAAATGTGAGCTGCAGAGATCCTTTCTTACTGGCACAGAAAGCACGCATGTTTGGCACTTGGCTGAGCAAATGCACCCCCATGCATGCATGCACGCAAGTGCCTCGCTTGTAGCAGATGCTCCGTGAACATGAGTTGTCTTTCCTGAGAATGATTCCCCCGTTAGCTTGGGGGTGCAGAGCTGGTGCTTGAGCACAAGCCCTCAGGAGATAAGCACTGCGCGGTGATTGGAAGGGGGAAGGGGAGGTAAGCTTGGAAGGGGAGGTGGGGGCACTGGTAGGGGGGTATGGGGCAGAGCCGGAAGGAGGGAGGTGTGCAAGGCTTTTTTGGACACTTGTGTCAGCTGGCCTAAGGGGAAGAGCGGCTCACTGATGATCTGGTTGTTTTGGGTCAGCGTAGCACAGGAAAGTGTTGCCATGTGATCGCTTTGAACCTCAATTTCCTCATCTGTCAAGGCTTTCCTACCTTACCAGGACCGCCACGCAGCAACGATGAGGTGACCAATGGCGATGTGCCGGGCACACATGGTTTTTACTTTGGTGATTTTATTAAAACTCCTCCGGGAGGTCCTTTGCTATTTTCTGTTATGATTTTTACCTTGATTTTTAGTTCGTCGTGATTTTTATGTGACCCAGGGTTCCCACCCTCTGCGGGCGAGATGAGCCAGTGCGTTGCAAAGCTGTGGCCCAAATCTTAGATCCTGAAGACTCGGACCTCTAGCCAAAGACCCGCAGCTCCCCACTCGCTGGGCCCTGGCTGGGGAGGGGGCCTCCTCTTAGAGACCCCGGAGGGCTGGTGGAGCCTAGCGGGGGGGACTCACACTCTATTCTCCCCTCCCCCAGGTACAAGACGGTGGTGACTCCCCGGAGGGCGGCAGTGGCCATCGCCGGCTGCTGGATTCTCTCCTTCGTGGTGGGTCTGACGCCCATGTTCGGCTGGAACAGGCTCGGGGAGGTGGAACGGGCCTGGGCAGCCAACGGCACCAAGGGTGAGCCCGTGATTGAGTGCGAGTTTGAGAAGGTTATCAGCATGGAGTACATGGTCTACTTCAACTTCTTTGTCTGGGTGCTACCCCCCCTGCTGCTCATGGTCCTCATCTACCTGGAGGTCTTCTACCTGATCCGCAAGCAGCTCAACAAGAAGGTGTCGGCCTCCTCTGGTGACCCGCAGAAGTACTATGGGAAGGAGCTCAAGATTGCCAAGTCGCTGGCCCTCATCCTCTTCCTCTTCGCCCTCAGCTGGCTGCCCCTGCACATCCTTAACTGCATCACCCTCTTCTGCCCTTCCTGCCAGAAGCCCAGCATCCTCATCTACATCGCCATCTTCCTCACCCACGGCAACTCGGCCATGAACCCCATCGTCTATGCCTTCCGCATCCAGAAGTTCCGGGTCACCTTCCTTAAGATTTGGAATGACCATTTCCGCTGCCAGCCCACACCCCCCGTTGACGAGGACCCCCCTGAAGAGGGGCCCCACGACTAGACTCCACCTTCCGATCCTGCCTGCCCACATCGGGGGCATCTCAGCCCAGTCCCACGTCCCCACTGGTCCCACTCCTGAGCCTTCCTGGCTGGGCTGTGGGGTGTGGGTGACCTGCACCTCGGGTCCTGGAGGAGGTTTGGGAGGGCGGTCCATGAGGAAGGAACCAGGTAACCTGAGGAGAGGACGAAAGTGGCTTGAGCCTCCCCAGCTGTGTGACCATCCTACGGGCAACCCAGTGCTTCGGGCTGGACGGACCTGGGGAGACTGAGGCTGCAAAGGGGCCATGTGGGCTGGGAGGGCAAGCTTGGGCTCCATGGCAGTCAGGGGAGCCTGCTTGTCTCTCGTGGTGGATGTGCAACCCTGGGACCAAGCCTAAGGAGAGGAGAGGATCCCCTCCAAGATGGAGGGAGGGAGAGAAACTGCACATCATGGTCTTGCTTTCTCTCCTTTCTGTAGAAGGTGGCAGAGCCACTGAGGGGCAGGAATCATGGAGCCTCAGTCCCTGCCTCCCCGGACCCTGAGCGGCTAGCCATGCCGGGTGCCAGGGTGCCTGCTCTCCCTGCCCCGGGGAGCCCAGGTTTATACTTGGAAGAGGCAGAAAGAGTGGGTCCAGAAATCATTCCCAACTTTTGCTTTATTCTCCACCAGCCCTGGGACCCAGAAAGGGGGCTCCAAGCCCGCTGGAGCTCATGTGGAGTTGAAGGGCAGGCCGCACACAGCCACTGGGTGGCAGCACTGAGCCCTTGCTCCGGCCCTGCGCGGCCCAAGGAGGAGCCTGGGCTCTAACTACCTGTCATCTGGGCTACCAGCTCCACTAGCCCCTGATGATGGCCTGGACTCTCTAAGTGACACCCATCTCTGCTGTTTCTGGGCCAGATGGAGAGGAGAGCCCCAGATATGCCAACATGAGGGAGCATTCTGCCTGCCTGAGGGGGCGGTGTGGACAAGGGAAAGTGCTGACTGTGGGTACTCATGGGATGACTTGTGACGGGCTGGAACAGGCCAGGGGAGACCACACCCCTGAGAGTGAGGCAGGGAGGTCTTGCTGGCGTTTAAATACCCCCAGTATCCCTGGCACTAGTTTTCAGGGGCTTTGGGGCTCTGTGGCACAGTGTAAGCTTCAGAGCATCCAGGGAAGTTTCCACCCTCTGCCAGGCTCTGTGGGCCCTTGTACAGAGGGGTGGGGGTGGGGGGTTCTGTGTGTGATTCCAGGCCCTTTCTTTTCTCGGAGGTAGGATGTGCCCTGGCTCCTAGGGAGGGCCACCTGACTAATAAAGACTGTGAACCTTGATGGAGAGCATGCCCCTGGCTCCCCACCCTCACCGCCATCTGAGGGCAGCAGACAACCTCAGCAGAAGAGAGTGGGGCGGGCGGGGGGGGGAAGCAGGGAGGGGGGCGGGGGCATGGAGGCGTTCAGAGCAAGGAGGGTTCCAGAGAAGAGTGTGTCTGTTCCTATAGTTATGCTCTTGGCATAGAATACCCTGAATGTGAAAGCAAGATCTTAAAAATCTCATGTCTGGAAACCCCCCTTAGATCCTGAGTCCCCTCCCACTGACATCTTCCTCCTGATGTCACACGTGGAGACCCCCTCGCGGTGACGCATTCCAGCCCCCTCGCTGTGACACAGCGCCTCCCCCATCACAACGACGCTCACTGGCACAGAGGCCCCCGCACCGAAACACACCACACACCTTTATTTGAGCGGTTCTCACCCAGAGTGCACCTCTCTGCAGGGGCATCCAGTCTTTGCACCTCCCAGGCCCCCTCGTGCCCAGGAAGCCTGGCCTGGGGCCTGCCAGGCCTACCCCTGGCTCCTGGGCTCCAGTCTCTAGGGGAGGGAGGTGAGGCAGGTACCAGGGAGGAGAGCCATCAGCCATCACCATGTGAACAGGGCTCTGGGACATTCGTGGAGCTTGATTCTGAGTCTGGTGGCCCTGATTCTCCAGGTCTGCAGCACCTGGCAGAGAACACGCTTCATGAGCCCTGGGGTTAGACAGAGCTGGGCTCTACCTGCCCTGCTGAAGAAGTGAGACAGGGCAGAGGGACACAACGCCCCTCTTTTCTTCCCAGGCCTCCCACCCCAAGGGCCCAATGCCCAGCACTTAGCTCTGCCCCTGCAGCTCTGGGATCCATGTCCGGAGCCTCAGAACCACCTGGGAGGGAAGGTGGGACACAGGTTGTTGTCCCCTCTTTGCTGACAAGGGAACAGGCCCAAGGGAATGCCCTGAACTAGACCCCTGTCCTATGCGCACATTGCCCGGGACTGCAGATTTGTCCCCAGAGCTGAATGCCACCTTCCCCTGTCCCCGCCCCACCCCCACCCCCTGCTCTGGCCTCTGCCCCCAGAGGCTGCGGGTCCAGCCATTTACCGTTCTCCTCATCACAGCCTCCTGTCGCTCTTCAGTGTGTGGCTGATGCTGGAAGAAATGCCACAGTCAGAGTGGGGGAGGGGCGAGTCTGCAGGGGACCCGAGTTGGGGATAGTGGGACGAGAGGGGCTCAAGGCTACAGGCCCTCACCCCAGGTAATCCATCAGTCTGGGTGGCAGACTCTACTACCTCCGTTCCCTACATTGGGCTGTCATCCCACTTGGAAAATCCTTCCACTAGCCAGATCTCTTTGTCTTTACTAACCCTCTGTCTTGCCTTGATTTCCAGCACCCAGCCTCATCTAGTCAGGCAGGAGAAGAGGTGGTTTCTATTAAAGGACGGTCCCTGGAGAAGGACGTTCCTCGTACCTTTCCCTTTGATCTCCAGCCGGCAGTCCACGGATGCCTCCCCTAACACATTGACAGCCTTGCAGGTGTAGACCCCAGAATCAAAGGGGCTGGGCTTCCGGATCTCCAGGGTGCAGATGCCTTGCTCAGAGAGGGCACGGTATTTGGGGTCACCCTGGATGTTCATCTTGTTTTTCATCCAGATGATCTTGGGCTAAGGGAACATGGTCAGAAGAGAGCTGAGGAGATTGTGGGCTGGGATGGGCTTTGAAGGAGCTGTCTGGGAAGATTCCCCAGCCCCACTGCCCCCACCCACCCAGGGCACAGGGGGGCTTCACCCCTTACCTTGGGCGATGCTCGGACACTGCAGAAGAGCTGAGTGCTATAGCCAGGAGTGGAGGTGTGGTCAGCCAGGGGCTGGGTAAATGAGGGGGCTTCTGAGAAGTCTCGCTCCACAAACCCTTTAGGTTTGGCAACAATATCTGGGTTCACGAGAGAAAGGGGTGCAAATTTAAGGTTACAAGAGTAGACCTGTTAGAACTGAATTCATCCATTTTCCTAAAATAATCACTATAGCTTACGCTTAGGTGTCTTATTTAATCTACTTAGCATCCTTCTGCAAGAATGAGTTTGTTATTACTATTTGACAGACGGGAAACTAAGGCCCTTCATGGATGAGTGACTTGCCCAATATCACTTAGTGAGTTTGGGGCTTAAAGGGTAGACAATCACATCATGACCATGGTTCTCTGGGCAGAGAGCTGGTGGTCTGGAGGAGGATCTTAGCATCAACGAGGGCAGGAGACAAGCCATTTCATTGCTGCTGTGGGATGAAGGAGCTCCGTGGCAGGACCCAGGCTCCTGGGATCTTCGGGAAGCCAGGCACGGCCAATATGTGGGAACTTAGAGACAGAAGATCTCAAAGAAGCAGAGGAAGTCAGGACCGTGCCTGGGTGGGTCAGGGAGAGGACAGAGAGGGCAACGGGCGGGAAAACTGGATAGATGAGTTGCTCTTGGCCAAGGCTGGGGACTTGCAACACAGAGATCCACATTTCATTTCTGTTTGTCTTTGGAGACCTGACCGGTTTTCCTTTTTTAAACAAAAATGTCTTCCTCGTTCTGTGCAGCACAGGCTGGTGTTAAAAATTTGCGTGTGCCTTCCCAAGCCTACACAGACTCCGTGCTGGGGCGGCGGCGGGGCGGGGGGGGGTTGCTGGAGATCACAGGGTGACAGGGAGCAAGGGCTTGGCATTTCATATTTGACGCAAGCATGTCACGTGGCTGTGTGGAGACAGTAAATACCCGTATCTCTCCTGTCCATCTGTGTGCTGTTATATGAGGGTCAGGAGGCTTGTGTTTGAGCCAACTCACCGGACTCTACCTACCCACGCACGCTGCCTCTCTGAGTAGTGCCCCTGGGACACCGCGCATGAGCCCCCGGGATCGCTACCTTGCTGGCAGCCACCAGCGACTTCGGAATAAGCGCACAGCCTCCCAAGGGGCGCATCTCCTTTGCACGGGTTTGCTCTGATGTGTTTGTTAAAATCAATCAACCACATCCATTTCTTTACAGTCCCTCGTGTGAACGCGTGAGCGTGTGCGTAGCTGTGGAGTGGGCGTGGAGAGGGCAGCAGATGCTCTGGCAAGCGGCACCCACCAGGAGCCCACAGGGAGGGGTGCTGATGCCCCAGGACAGGCCGAGCCTGGCTGGGCGGGGGGTTGGAGGGAAGGAGGGCCCCAGGACCAGACCCACCTGCCTTCTGGATGCGGGCTAGCTCCTTGGTGGCCGCGGCCGAGGCACTGAGCCCACACTGGTTCTCCGAGAAGACCCGAAAAGAGTAGGTGTTTCCCACGATGAGGTCAGAGATGGTGCACGTGGTCGGGTGGTAGCGCTCCAGGACCGTGAACCATTGCTGCGGGGACCCCGGCCCAGTCATCCTCTCCTCTGACCCTTGCCCTTGCCCTCCTGGCTCGCCCTGCAGCCCCTTCCTCAGAGGGGCTCATTCCAGGCCTTATCCTGAGGGAGCTGAACCATCCAGCTTTGGGAGACGGGGTCCCTGGATACTCAGATGACCTCGCTAGGGTTCTCAGAGAATTCTAGATTCTTACGGCTCAAAGTGTGGCCTGAGGACCTGCAAACTCAGAATCACCTGGGAACTTCTGGGAAGTGCAGGATCTCAGGCCCCGCCCCAGACCTAACGAGTTAAGACTGGCATTTTAGCAAGATTCCTAGGTGATTCATAGGCACATTACATTTCCAGAAGCACTGCTCTAGACCTTGAAGGGCCACAGAGAGCCCCCCTTGCAGTCTTCAGGAGGCAGCTGAGGCCCAGAGAGGAAAGGGATCTTGCTAAAAAGCCACATGAGGATCAGGTTAGTGGTAGTTAGACTAGAGCGTGCTCCCTGGACTCTTGGAGGGCCGGGCTTTCCTGGCCACCTTGGCCCCTTCCCCCTGCCGCACGCTGCTCCAGCGGGCCTCACCCCTGTCTTTTTGTCTGCCTTCTGCACTGTGTAGCCCAGGAGCTCTGTGTTGCCTGTGTCCTGGGGCGGTGTCCACTCAAGAGCAGCGTTGCAGCCCCAGACGTCCAGTAGCCGGATGCTGCTGGGGGGTCCAGGTTTCTCTGCAGGGCCAGAGTGTGAGGGGGGTGAGGAGGAAGGCTGGGCTTGCTGCAAAATCCCCACACCCAAGATCTGGCTCCCGTCACACACTCCCTTGCCTAATCCCGTCAGCGGTCAGCTCTGGGGTAGGAGGTGGGGTCTCTGGGTCCCCAGCAAGGCAGCCCCGCCTCCCCTGGCCCCGTACCAATCACCAGGATGTCGATGGCTGCCTTGGCCTCCAAGCCTTCCAGACGCACAGTGAGCTCATAGCAGCCTGAGTCGGAGCGCTGGGCCGAGCGGATGAAGAGGATGGAGTCCTGGTCCCCGGTGCGCACATTCACCCGCTGGCTGTCCAGGGCGTGGCCATTATGGGTCCAAGAGGCCTGAGGCTTGGGACTCCCCTGGGAAGGAGGAGCTCTCAGGGTAGGTGCAGGAGACGCCAGCACCCCCATACCCACTCAATTCCGGGGATCTCTGGAGCTGTGCTCAGGGGAGCTGGCCCCAACAGCCCTTCCAGGAGAGACGCAGGTGCTGCTCACAGCCTCCTTCTCCAGGTGTCCAGCCAACCCTGGGACCACCCATCCCGACCACAGGCTGGAGAATCACAACTGAGTCATGTGTACAACAGAGGGAGGGTGAAGCTCTCTTGGTGGGTCTCATGAGGGCCGACCCTCATGAGGATCCTGACATTTCCAGGGTTCCTGCGACGCACCTCAAGTAGGGGCCCTGATTTCCATCCAGGCTGTTATCGTGGGCAGGGGCCATACCTACCTGGAAGGGGATTTGCAGGTTGACTGGCTCTCCCACCTGGCGGATGTAGGTCTGACGAAGGTGGCGGGGGACTCGGATCTTGGGGGCCTCTGCGTCAAAGGGAGAGGCTAGGCTTAGCACAGCATGGGGTTGCTGATTGGAGGCTACTGTGGTAGCCGTAGGAAACAACCGGTGAGGGTTGCTGGCTGGACAGGAGGGCTCCTAGTTGTGTTCTGGGGCTGCCTGCTTGTGGGAAAGGCTAGTGGAGATCCAGGGGCCCAAATCCCTCAAGGGCCTTAGGGAGTTGAGAGCTGGGAGGTTCCAGGAGGGCAGGACCTCCATGGTGTGAACTGGTAAGCATCCTGGGCACTCCCTTGGCGCCCTGACCCTGCCAGGCTGGGATTTACCCTGCAGCCCAGGCATGCCAGGGCTCCAGATGGGTCCTGGCGGGCTCCTTGGCTCCCCCTAGTGGGGAGCAGGTGCTGCACCTGTCGGCCTGCATTCCCAGGAAAGGTGGCCATGCCTTCTTCCTCCTCATCCAGCACCCTCCATTCCCCAGCAGCCCAGAGAAGCCCCTGTGAGACCCATTTGCCCATTTCTCTGTCGGAGGCCATATGGGAGGTTTAGGATCTTTCCCTTCTTAAATGAGGGCAGAGCAGCTATACCCCTTCTTTCTCTGTCACCCCTCCCACTACCTTTCAGTCTCACAGTTGGGAAGTCCTTCCTGAAATCTCACTTCAGTCCCATGCTACCAGGGGGGGTGGGGAGCCAGCTTCCTGACCGTCACCTAATCAGGTGCGGCCACCAAAGCTGCTGTGCATTCTAAGGGAGGCTGCCGCAGCCCCTGCCATCCCCCCGCTCCCCGCCCCGGGCGGGGGCAGGAGTGGTGGAGCTGAGGCTCCTCGGCAGCAAACAGGGGGCAGCAATTGGTCGGTGGCACACAGGCCGGAGGGAAGGAGATGGTGAGAAGGAACACTCTGTCTCCGAGGATTAGCTGTGCAGGCCCTTGGCTCTGGGAGCATAAGGAGTGGAACGATCTAGGGGCAGCTGCAGGGGGCCAGGAATGCTTGGCAGCTCCAGGTGGCTAAGAAGGGACAGCTGAGCAGCTGAGGATTCTGGACAAGGTCCCCACCCTGCCCTGCCCATGAGAAGGGCCTGGCTGGTCCCTGTTTGTTCGCGGCCTCCTCCCCCTCTTCTCTCCAGGAAATCCCCTTCTCTCCTGCCAGAGGAATTGTAATGGAGTCGTGGGTGCGGAGTCTGGCTGGCTCCTTCAATGTTGGGCCTTGGAGTAGAGAGCCTTGGCCTCTGTACCCTCTCAGAGTCTGACCTCCTGGGGCAGGTCCAGGACCTTCCCAACCAGAAGGGCTTCCTGGCGCCTCCAGGCTAGAGTCGACATGTCCATACTGTGGCTGCCAGGTGGGGTCATGTCTGCCCCAGACTCAAAGGATGGGAGGGTCCCAGAGAAGACTCCCGGACTCCCGGACGCTTGGTGGCACAGGAATGGTCCTGTATGGGAGGCAGGTTCTGGGATTGCTGCTAATAGGCTGAGTGACTGCGAGGGAGTCCTGGGGCCCCTGGGGACCTGCTTGGCTTGGATGGACCAGCTGTCATAGCCCTTGATTCTAATCTCCCTAGCCCCGTGGTTCCCACATCTCTTGGGCCTTGAAGTTGAGAAGTATTTCCTTGAATCCAAACTTGACCTCTCCTGTGGCTCTGAAGCCCACTCTTTTTGGAGGCCTCCTGTGGGTGCAGGGGAATAAGAAGGAAGGTAGAGAAGGCCTCAGGCCACCTGCTGGCCTGTGTCTCTCTTCACCCCAGGCCCTGGGCTGTCCCCAGAGACCTCAGATCAGATCAAATGACTCACTGCCATTAACAGACTGAAACCCGATCGGCTCTGGCAAGGGAGCAAGGGTAGGCTTGAGGCTAATGCACCCTGCAAATAGAAGTCTTACAAAGGGACAGCAGCTGGCCTCCAAGGTCCCCAGCACACCGCTGCCCTCTGGGGATGGACAAAACTTCACAGGCCTGCAGGCTCTTGTCTGTTTCTCCCACTAGGGACGTGGTGGGATAAGAGGCAAGCAAAGACTTCTTTCTGTTCAAAAACCTTTGGGAGGATCTGGAACCCAGGCCATGTGACACGAGCAGAAAATGGGCAGAAAATGAACTTCCCTGGCCGCTGGAGGGATTCAGATTAGATAGGAGGAAGAACAAAATGGCTTTTAGCATTGGGACGCTGAGGCAGGTGACCTGGGGAGCTTGAGCTTTCATTTCTGGGAGTCAGGGACACCCTCCCCCAATGCTTGGGGGCTGGGCCACTCAGGGAAATGGCCTCTTTGACCTCCAGAGGCTTGCTGCTGAGGAATCTGGAACTTTCTTAAGGCAAGAAGGTGATAGCATGTGGCTTGTGCATGTGAGGGTGGGATGGGGGAAGATGATTGTCTTGTTTCCTCTGCCCATCAGCCCCAAGTTTCCCTACCTATCACATAAGGGGCCTGGGAAGGGCTGGGAGCAGGAGATAAAAGGATGGGCTTTACCGATGATCTTCTGGATGTGGACAGGCTGTTGTAACACTGCTGGTGGGCCAGCCCCCGCAGAGCTCACTGCAGCCACACGCAGGAAGAACTTGTCCTCCAGAGCCAGGTTCCGCATGGTCAGCTGGGTCACCATCAGGGGCCGGGCGTTCACGGGCACCCACTCCGAGCCTGGGGAAATGGACAGCATGCAAGGCCCCGGCTTCACGGCCATGGGCATCCTTCTCAGTGGGGCTTTCCTCCTCCCTGGGGATCTGGGGCAATGGACCTCCCACCCCGGGCCTTATTTTCCCCTTGCTCTCCTTCCCTGACTTCTTGTCAAATGGCATCAAAGACACCCGGTGTTAGAGCCCTGAAATGGTGGTCAGAGAAGGTATCACTAAAGCCCGGAGAGGGCTGGACACATCTGCCAAGTCATGCAGCAAGGTAAGGACAAAGGCAGAGGCCAGGCTGAACTTGGCCACCATGGAGGTGAACAGGACAGAGGCAACAGGAATTGGGCCATTGCCCTGGTCCCCTGTTTCTCTTCACTGTCTCCTATTCTTAAGTGCCCCTGCTCCCAGCTTCTCTGTCCCCCCTCCTGCTTGCCCTCGCCAAGCAGGCTCCTCTGAGACTCAGCATCTCCTTCACTTCCTATCAGACCAGCACCCCAGCGGCCCCGACCCCTCTCTCCCTGTTACTCAGAGGCTCCCTGGAGCTGGAGGATGGGGTGGGGGGGTGTCTCCTGAGGTTATTTGGACATCCCCCTGCCTCAGAGGTCCATGGGGTAAGCAAGAAGTGTTAGGTGAGTGGGTTGAGGGGACCACTTGCACTTTCTTCTTCTGTATCTCCCCCGAGACTGGCCCAGCTGCAGGGTCTGGGGGCTTGTCGCTGCGACTCCCAAGCCCACCTCCCCTGGGGGTACGCAGGGCTTAGCCCAGAGCTCACCTCCTTCTCTGCAGAGCTCCAGCACATAGCCCTGGAGCCCCAGCCTCCCTAGCCTCTCCGGTGGCTCCCAGCTCACGGTCACCGAGCTGTCGCTCACATCCTCCAAGGCCAGCTGCAGCGGGGCACTGGGCACATCTGGGGGAGAAGTAGGGGGAGATGAAGAGGTCTGTGGTGGAGAACTCTCCCCCGCCCGCACTCCCTGCCCCACCTCTTGTCACCTTCACTTGCAGGGGCAGGTTTAGTGGCTGCGGGGGCCGCAGGGGCTGTGGGGGCAGGCTCCTGTGGCGTGGGAGCCCGCTCTTCCCCGGTGGACGCCAATGCTGCCACTTCTCCAGAGGGCTCGGTGGTGGGCGCCTTGGCCGGCTCAGAAGCGGTCTCCTCCGGACCACAGGCAGGGGCCTCCGAGGGGGCTTTCTCTGTCATTGCTGGGCTGGCTGGGGGTGGTCAGGCTGGAGTGTGCAGGGGTCAGCAGGAGAGGGTCTGGGCCTCCAGGGTGCCTGGGACACCTAGGTCCAGGCTTATATAGTCAGGGGCTGCCCCACCCCCAGCCAAAGGATGATTCCCAGCTGTGGGGTCAGGTCAGGCAGGGGGACTGGGGGGCAGGGAGATGCCTCGGCCAGGAATAGCTCAGGGGGAGGAACTGCAGGGTCCCTTGAGGAGCGCACTACCTCGTCCATCACTCCGATTGGATCTCAGCAGCCAGGGTGTTGGTGCCCGGAGGGGAGGAGGGCACAGATGGATGAGATGGGGCATTGCCGAGAGCTGGTGCCAGGAGTCAGGCCAACGGGAACAAGAGCTTCCATCTGGAGAAGGAACCCAGATCACGCTTTGTGTTTGGCCTCTGCGGGGCCACTTGTACCCAGGGCTTCTCAGCCAGGTGCTGGGACCCAGACTGCCTGAAACAGCCTTCCCTGGGGAGCACTCCCAGCTTTGCTTCTGGGATCCCACACTCCCCTCGGCCTCACGCTCCCTGGGCATTCTCACATGTGCTGTGTGGGGTTGAAGTTTCCAGAGAGGAAGGGGATTGGGATGCCCAAGGTGGGGCTGGTGGGAGGAAGGTCTTCCAGCAATGGGGCCCCAGGAAGGAGGCCTAAGGTGCCTGGTTACTGCTTTTGCTGGAGAGGACCCAGTCTCCCCAATCCCTGCGACAATCCCCTAGCCCTTGGCAGTGAGATAAAGTCATGAGGCAGAGCTGGAAGAGACCCCAGAGGAGGACGGCACTCAAACTTCTAGACTCTTTGAAGCAGGGAGGGTTACGAGGCAGGTACAACCAAACGTCTAGTCACGGATTCATTCACCCAGTAAAACGTTCAGACTGGCAATCATTTAATAAGCCTGAAAATACCACGAGTCAGGGAGGAGGGGAGGCCACGGGGACGGTCATTGCCGGTGGGAGTGGCGGTCGAAGACATCCCTTTGGAAAAAGGGAGACGGCATCTGGTAAAAACGGAAAATGGGCATGTCTGCGACCCAGCAGTGACAGCCCTAGACACTGTCACACGTACCCAGGAGACATGCACGCCAATTCGCACAGCAGTATTATTTGTAATAGCCCAAACCTGGGGAAGGCCCCTGTCCCTCCACAGCTCACTGCGGAGCACGTGTGCACCTATAATCCAAAATACGGGACGGGACGAGCCAACTGCAGCCGCGGGGGCGACCTAACAGATCTAACAGTTTCATGGTGAACAAAGGGAGGAAGGCTCAAGAACAGTGGGATCCCACCCATGTTAAATTCAAAGGCAGACAATCCCACGCTCTCTTCTTCCAGGGGCTTCTGTAGGTGGTGAGACCCCAGGGGGAGGCAGGGGGAGGTCAGGAGCGGTGCCTCCAGGTGGAAGGACAGGGTGTCTGTGCCGGTGGGGTCTCGGGGGGCACTACTGAGGTTTCATTTCCCTTCCGGTGTGGGGTGGGGGGGTTATACAGGTTTTCACGAGTTAGTAATTCTTTAAATGAAACAAATCCATTCTATGCACTCTTTAGCATGTATGCTATATCCCAACATTTAAAAATAAATACACAGGAGTGTGGCTGCCTTTCACTGCTCGTTGTCCTCGTTGTAGCGGAGGGCCTGGGGAGCCTCAGGGTCCGGCCCTGCCTGGGTGCCCGCGCCCTCTGCCAGGTGACTCAGTGTCCTGCCAGGCAGGAGGCGGGCCCCGGAGACCCGATCCCCATCCCTGGCCTCTGACTCCGCAGCTATAAGTGAATGTGACTAACTCTGCAGGACCCTGAGTCAGCCCTGCGGAGCTTGTCCCAGGCTGGGGGAAGGGTGGCTCCAGGGAGGAGGAGGGGGGTTGGCTGCCCTGGAGGGTTCACAGCCCTGGGGGGTTTGGAAGACCCTTGTGTTGTGGGGTGGGCAAGGGGCGGCGACTAGGGAATTCCTGGCCCCGCTGGCCCGTGATGAAATGCCAGGTACCCTCCCGAGGCTCTGGCCAAGCTCTCACTTTCCTTGCCTTGAGCAGGGCTGTGACCTTGGGATCAGTTGCATCTGCTCAGCTCCAGCTGGTTCAGATTTCAGGGTGGCCAATAGGTACTTCCTTCCCTACACCTCAAACCAGTGTCACAAACCAAGGCACGGATAATCGGAACATGAGGGAATCCACACATAAATTCTCTTTGATTTTGGAGTGTGCCTCTGGACTCCAGATACAAGGCATGCCTGGGGCCCTGGGAGTTCCACAGAAACCTGACGAGAGCATTTCTACCTCATAAAGGCTGCAAGACCAGCGGGTCTTCTGAGCCCATCCCAACTCATCTGTATTCCCATCCCACCTGCCTGCCACCTCATGTCCCTGGCCACAGCCTGAGCAGAGCAGCCTTGTCTCTGCTTGGGTTGAGGGCCGAGTGTGTCCCAAGAGGAGAGACAAGGGAGACAGAGGGCTGAGCGGCAGCCTTAGGACATCTGACAAATTTCCGCCCAGCAATGGAAGGGGCTTTTTAAGGTCATGAGGCACCTACCCGTCTCTGGGAGTCTCAGAGGCTGGACAGCCATGTCTCAAGCACCCTGCAGAAACTCCAGGCCTGGGCCCGAGGGAGGGTGCAGGAGGACATCGGGGCCTCTTTCTAGCCCTGAACGGCCAGGGTCAGGGTTCTCTAACCTGGCCCTGGGTTGGCTCCCTACCCCCTCCCAGGGGCTCAGAGGAGATGAAGGTTTGGAATGTGGCTTCCTTCCTAGTACCTGCTAACCTGCAGGAAACAGAAAAGTCTTCTTTCAACAAGGAACTATGTCAAGAGGTCTGGACTACTTTATTATCTGGAAGGCCATCAGCCCTCCTGAGTTAAGTCCACAGCGGATGGATCTTAGGAGGCCGGCCTCCTTTTGGGACTCCCCGGGGCCCAGCAGAGGCCAGGGTAGCCTCACCTCTGCACCTTCTACAAGTGCCAAGCCCCCGAGCCTGAGAGAGGAATCCAGAAGACACGACCAAGGGGAGCCCAAAGAGACCGAAGCAAGTGCCAACACACATGAAGCTCTGGTGCTTTATTGAGCAGCAGCTGCAGAATTAGGGAAGGGAAGTGGGAGGGGAGACGTGATCATGTTCCTTAGTGCAGCTTTCAAGCTGGGCTTGCAGAAGGGGTAATTAGTGTGGCTCTGCTTCGTGAGAGATGTGTTGCTTGCACGGGCCAAATGGTGCCCTTCGGCAAGGAGGCCTGGGGGTAAGGGAGTCCAAGAAATCTCCTTGTGTGGGGCTGGGGCCATTGAGCATTTTCACGAATCAGCAGCGGTGTGCTAACCCCGGGGCTTCCACCGTGCTGGCCCCCAGGACTTAGCTGCCCACGGCCCTACTTCTACCCGCTGGTCCACTAGAGCTGAGCTCAGACGGCTCCCCTGTGGCCCTCCGCGTGGGGTCCAAGAGAGGGAGACTGAGGCTCAGGCGGGGACTCAGCAAGGTGGGCGATGAGGCTCCGGGCCAGCAGGGATGCCCCTCGCCCCACCGCGTGCAGGACAGGGGCTAAGCCGCGCCGAGCGCCTCCTTGATGGCAGTGGTGAGAGGGAAGCGCACACCCCCGCTGCAGAAGGCACCCCGGAAGTCATCCAAGTCCAGAGCCCACACCATGGCGCCGGCCAGCTGCTTGTTTTTCAGGTACTGCACCTGGCAGGGAAGACCCGGGGGGGGGCAGAACTGGGTTCCCGGGCTGGAGTGTGTACGGGGCGGACGTGCTGCCTGGGCCCCTATCTAGGGAAGGGAACAGCGGGCACCCAAGACCTGAACCACCCCGCCCCCACGACCCAGCACCGCCCTCAGTGCAGGGGACCTGAATCTGGCTGCTTGGAGCCGGGCTCCCTCTCCCTCTTCATCCTGGGGCGTGGCCTTGAGAACCTACCTTGTTTCTGACGCTCTCCTTGTCGTCATACCCCACCCACTGGTTGCCCTTGGTGGCATAGGGGACCTGCTGGCCAGTGAGTCTATGGACCGTGGCGAAGTGGAGGAAGTCACAGATCTGAGCAGAGAACAGGGCCAGGTGGCATGGCGAGCTGGGTGAGATGGTGCAGGTCACCAGGGAGATGCCCTCCCCACATCTATTTCAGCCCCTTGCTTCATCCCGCTCAGGATATCTGCCCCCAGCCCCCAGCCCCCAGACTGCAGTCCTCATGCTTATGTATGTAAACCAGATGCAAACATCCCAGGGTTCTGGGGGTGCTGTAGCCTGAGGGCATGAAGGGGACTCTGGTTTGCTTCCGGCATCTTAAACAGGGATGTGGGAAATGATGGGTTGACGTAAGGACTGGCCCAAGGCGATACAAAGTAGCAGGGGCAGGGTCCAAAAAGAACCCGCCTTTGGGCCATTGCTCTTTTCTGGGCTGGCAGGAAAACCTCAACTAGGGCCAGAGGGGTGTCTGGGAGCTTGGTGGGGCAGACCCGGTGTGCCCGAAGGAGACTTAGTAGCAGGAGGCCTGACCTCCCCCCTTCCTCCTCCTCAGGTTTTTATTCCCAAAAGAGGAAATGGGGGGTGGGAGGCTCACCTTCCTCAGGGCCTCTGGGTGTGTGGGGATCTTACCTTCTCCCTAGCTCATACCTCATAGTAGGCCAGGATCCCTTCCTCCTTGGTGAACTGGCCTGGTAATCCGGGCCCTGAGATCGGGGCTCCCACACCGGTCTTGGAGGAGGCCAGAGTGAAGCTCCTCCCAAAGGCAGGGATGCCCATCACCAGTTTATCGGCTGGGGCTCCCAGCCTCAACATATAGCTCACGGCATAGTCCTGGGCGGGGGAGGGGGGAGGAGAGGAGCTGTTAGCAGTGCTGGGGGTGCAGGATGGGCAAGACTGTACTCACTGCCGCCTTGACAGGTGGAGTTCCAGGCGCACCCGGCATCTGGGACGCGCTTCCTCCTGGGAGCTGATAATCGCGATCTAAAATGCATTTTGTAGTTGCATTCTCCAAAGAATGGTCTTAGGTAAAGGAAGGGGTTATGACTGTTGGCAACCAATCCGGTGATCAGCTCAGGTTACACGCAAGTGCAAGGCTGGTCTAGACCAGACTCCTGCCTCCTCCCTTCTGCAGGCATGGAGCACTCACAGACTTTGGGCTTCAGTTTTCTCATCTGTGGTGTGGGTCCCATAAGCCCTCCCTTGCAGGATTCCCCAGGGGCACAGCGTTGGTGTGTGAGCACTGGCAGGTGGCAGGTCTCTGGGGCCCCCTGCCTGGCCAGCCACCCTCCTTCCAGGCACTCACGGCGTTGTTGAATCTGTCAGAACTCGCATCCTCCTGGCCTCGGAACAGGGGGCTGTGATGTCCTGTGGTCTGACGCCAGGCTCCGTGAAAGTCATAGCTCATGAGGCTGATGAAGTCCAGGTGTCTGGGGAAGAGAGGTCAGAGGGTGAGGCAGGAAATTAGAAAGGTTCTTGGCCTCGCATCCATCACCCCAGCACAGTGGGAGCAGGGCAGGCAGGCAACCCTGAGGCAGGCCCCGCAGAGCCCTGTGATCCACTGTCCAAGCTGCCTGGCCACTTCCCCTCTGCCGCACCCAGGAGTGGGCTCAGAGCCCTACAGGTGCATTTAAGGCAAGAATGGAGTTCTTTTATTATGTCCCCAGCACACGATCGGGAGCTGGCCTCTGTCTTGCCTTCCACCCTCCACGCCTGCCACCTGCCACGTTCATCTTAGTGAAAGCAGATTAAAGAGTAGCATCAACAGACAGCCTGGTGGGGAAAGAGCTGGGCCAAAGGATGGCCCTGAACCTGTGATCCGCTGGAGTGGGGAGGAAGGTTTACACACACATACACACACATACCCGGGTGAGAGGGACCACATGTGGATTGCATGAATATGAGCTTTGGATATTTGGGGCAAATGGTTGAGAGCCACCTAGTTCCCACCTCCTAAATGATCAATTTAAACAGAGTCTATGCCTCCCTGAGATCATAAAGAAGATTCTGAAAACTCATAGTGAAGAGCCTTTGTTCTTTACTCCTGTGTTTCCTAAGATCCATGTCTTCAGATTCCACTGACATCAGCCCGTGGGGCTGTGAACTTCTCATCCTCACGTGTAGAAGGGGGCAGGGTGAGGAGGAGGGGTGGACAGGGCTGGGGTCCCCTGTGTGTGTGAAGACACCTCGAGGCATCTAGCAATGCAAAGTGTTACTGCTACTGAGCTGTGTCTGCGGTGACTAGTGCTCTGGTGGAGAAGAGATCCCGCAGTGGCCGGCCGGTTTGTGTATCGTCTCCTACCTCCTTTTCCACAAATGCATTCATAGAAACTCTCTCAACTGCTTAGCACAATACCCCGTGTGAAGACGGAAGGACAGGGATTACGGTGCCCCTTTTGACAGATGGGGAGACTGAGGCATGGAGAGCAGAAGTGACTTGCTCAAGGCCACACATCAAGTTTTTGGAAGAACGGGGACTAGAAATCCAGTCTTCTGACTCCACGTGGAGCGCTGGGGCCGGGCAGGGCTGGGGACTCACTGGGATATCTGGGCAATGTCGTAGCCACTGTCGATGATCACCTTCCCTGCGGACACTGCTGCGCTGAGAAGCAGTTGCTGTCTTGTTCCCTCCTGGGCTTCCCTCGCAAACTCAGCCTTCATTTTCTGGTTGGGAGAGAGGCAGGTGAGTGACGGGGGCCCGCACAACCCCAGGGGCTGTGTGCGAGGGAGCCTTGTGAGAGAGGCCGAGGTCTCCGAGCATGTCATTGACCTTCCCCATCTGCTAGGACCCCAGCCTGACTGCGCTTCAGGGCGAATGCTAGAGTGGCCCATTGGTGGTCCCACCTGGGGCTCACCCACCCTTCTCCTAAAACACTGTTTGGACCCATCCCATCCCCACACCCCACACACACCCATCAACGCTCCATTGCTCCCTGTCCGAGAGGGACCATGAGGACAGATAGTGGTCCTCGTTGGCCCACAGATTGTGTTGGAAGAAGTTTGTTTTTCAGTCTGTGTTTTGTTCATGCCAGTACATGAGACTACAAAAATTAAAGTGGTCTTTAAATTTACATTTAGTGGTCTTTAAAATTAAAATGATATGGGTACTGTGGACAATTTGTTTGGATAATCACTCTGCCCCTGGGGCCCTGGAGATGCTTGGGCTGCCCTCATCAGATGTGGCCAAGTGTTCCCAAGGCAGTGCATGCTGGGGAGTGGCAACATCGATTTGGGAGCTAACAGTGGGTAATGATGCTCCCCCACTACGTGGGCGTTCTGCTCAGTGACCTTCTGCCTCTGAGGACCCCACCGCACCTCCCACCGTGGTCACAAGATGTCTTCCTTGTTGTGTCAGATCTCAGGGCACAAGCCAGTTTGTCTTTCCCTAGTCCGGGTCCCCGGACCCTGTGGCCAGGCGGCCTCAGACCCCTCTCAGCCTGCCCTCAGGGGGCCGCCCCTTGGTGCCAGCGCACCTTGCCCCCGCTCTCCCCGACCGGCCAGCACCTTGACCAGCCTGGTGAAGTAGCGCTTGTCTCTCCAGTCAGGGTAGAGCCAGGCCAAGTCGAGCCCGTCGAAGCCGTGGGTTCGCAGAAACGGTAGCACCGACTTGATGAAAGTCCTGCTACTCCGGGTCTTGGAGGCTATTTTGGAAAATCTAGGGCCCCAGTCACCCCAGTGGAGTGCTCAGCACTGACATGCTGGTGGCCTCGGGCATCTCCAGGGGTTTCTGAGGCCTGTGATGCGGGGGCCTGAACCCCCGAGCTCTGGAAGGGCATGGCTGGGACGGGACCCACCTCCAGGCATCTCAGACAGAGCTCTGGAGCGGCCAGTCCAGGTTCCAGGTCCTGCTCTAACACCTACTAGCCAAGCCGCCTTGGAAAGGTCATCACCTACATCTCAGTTTCCTTGTCAGTGAAGTGGGGATAATGGCCGTGTCTCACGGTGCTGTGGTGGGGATCCCCTGTGATTGTGGCTCGACGGGGGCCTGAAGCTGAGCCATCACTCAGTAAGCGGGAGCTGTTAGGGCCATGTCTTGCCCCCCTTTTCAGCCCTGCTCCAACCCTACCCACTCCAGGGAGTCCCTCCAGGCTCTCTACACTCCCCAATTTTCGATTCCTTCCATCTCTCTCCTTCCAGCCCTAGGGGCAGTATCTCCCAGAAGTCCTATGGTTTCAGGTCTGAGAGGCAGTAGATGGAACACCGGCCGGGGGTCAGAAGATCCACTGACAACGTACTGTGTGACTCTTGGCAAGGCCTTCTCCCTCTCTGGGCTCTGGTTTCTTCACTGTACACGGGGTGGGCCCCCAACAACCATTTAGTCCCCCATGCCTAACCTGTCTGCAGCCCCTGTGGCCCTCTACATTGGGTAAGGGAGACCTATGCCTCCTTCCCTCATTCCATCATCCTCTGGGGAGTGGGTCCTACCTGTGAGAACCGAAGTTCCATCCTCCAACAGAGAGGAGGGTCTTCAGGTTGGGGTTCCTGTGGGGCACAGAGAGGCAGGAGGGCCAGGGTGGAGTGAAGCTGTTGTAACATGGGCCGGCCCCATGTGTGGGAGGCTACTGCAGGGTGCCAGCATTGGGTGGGAGGTGCTTCCAACCCTGAAATTCAGGGTTCTAGGAGGCATAGACTTTGCGGCAGTTACTCTGAGGTATGCTGCCCATTTTTGTTTCTCCTGAGTGGGGAAGCCAGGAAATGGCAAAATAGGGTCATGAGTATTTTCCACGGTCCCTGGAGAGGCACCCCCAGTGGGGGAGAGGACTCCCCTTCCCCAGGGGAGCTCAGCCGGCCTTGTTCTACAGCCTGCCTCTGTCACCACCAGGCATGGCCTAGCATGTACCCTCATCATCTGCTCCCACCAAAGCCCAGGCCCTCCACTTCCCCAGCCAGGGTCCCCGGGGGCCGTCCCGCAGCCTCCCGAGCAGAGGCGCCCTGCCCTGGGACCAGCCAGTCTAGCCCTCCATCTGCCTCCTGTCCTGGCAGCCTGGGGCCCAACCTGTTCTTGAGCATGTTCAGTGTGTTATAGAGGGTGACATCATTCCACTCCCAGGTGTCTATCTCGTTGTTGCTTATGTTGGCGAAGCTGTAGATGACGTGGGTGCAGAGGAAGGGGTCGATGGCATCTGGGTAGCAGCTCCCAAAACTGTCCCGGTACTGGGACCAGCTGGTGTAGTAGCAGACCAGTTTATACGCAGAATCTGGAGAAGAAGTCTGGGGTGGTGCCTGAACCAGGACAGAGCCAAGGGGCCTCTGGCTGAGCCCTGCACTGAGCACCGATGGAGTACTGGGGGCCGGGGCCCAGATGTGAGCCAAGTTAGCATTCTCAACACAAGGGGCTGGCTCAGTTCTCTCTGCCTCTGATGACAATAAGGCCTATTCTGAAAAGGCTTTGAACAGATTAAATGCAGTAGATGAATATCCTGCAGACTAAGGACAGGGCACTGTGTGCGGTGAGCATGGGGGCTGGTGAATAAAGGTAAAATGGGACTCCGTGCAAGTAAAGAAGGCTTCCTGGAGGCAGTGGCTTGGAAGGAGAGAAGGGACAGAGCCCAAAACAGCCAGTGTCAGAAGACCCTGGCCTTCAGAGTGGAGCCCTGTGGAACCTGCAGGGGGTCGTCGATCTGGGAGGCTCTGTTTCTTCTCTGCCTTCCTGCAGGAGTGTCCCTAACTTGTAACCCACCCAGAGGGGCAGTCCCCAGCCCCCCTCAGCCCGTCCCCCAAGCTGGGGCACGATCATAGTGGACCAGAAAGTCCTTCCCCTCCTCATTCCAAGTCCTCCTCCTGCAGAGTGAGCCTTTTCCAGTTACAGAGGAAGAACAGTGGGCATCACCCGCCCATGCTGCCCCTGAGCCCAGCTGCGGTGCCCACCAGACCACAAGTCCGGGCCTTCAGCAGACCAGAACCTTTGAAGGGTTTTTATTTTGAATAATTTCAAATACACAGAAAAATAGAGGATAGTATAATAAACATCCATATGCAAATCGCCTTGGTTTGACATATGTTAATATTTCTGAGCCATGTGAATCACAGAAGAAACTGGAAAGTGCTCGCCTCTGCCAAGATCTCCTCCACGTCACCCTTAGCACACCCCCGTCTCCCGTGACTTGACAGAGGGGTTACTTACAGTTCTGGAGCAGCACCAGGACCACGAAGCCTGAAGGGAAATCCGGAGTCAGACCCCATGCGAGGATATCCTGCCCTTCCTTCTGCTCCACCCCCCACCCAGGGAATCAAGGGGTTAACACCAGTTGTCCTGCCCCTGTTTCCCCTCCCCCCCACCCCCTTCCCCCAGCAGGTAGGAGGCCAGGCCCTTGGTGCAGTGGCTTCCTGGGCCATCTGGGCCTCTCAGCCTGAAAACCCACAACCAAGCCAGCCTTGACCAGCCCGGACACCTGTCTGAGCCACCCTCAGCTCCATCCTGGCTGCAGCAGAGCAGGCCGGGCTGTGGCCGCGTCCTGTGCCCTCAGCTCTGTCTAGCCGCTTAGACAGGGCCTCTTCCCTGGGCTTCACGCTTCCTTTTTATATCTGTCCCCTTCCACTCCCACGAGCCCCCAAACATCCCATTTATGGGAACTGAGCTGTGTCAAGGAAGGAATTACCAGCAGGGAAGGGGCCAGGGAGGAGCACTGTGGGCCACCAGAGGAAGATTGAGAAAGCTTGGAGAGTTTTGAAAACTTGGGCCAGGTCTCTGGGAGGCAACTGCCACCCACGGGGGTGACTATCTGGTGGCTCCCAGGTGAGTGACCCAGCCTCATTCCCAGCCACCTTTCTCATTGCCTTCTGCACCCCCCCCCCACTTTTCTGCCTGCAGTTTCTGGGCTTTTCTGGCAGCCTCTCGGCTGGCGTCACCAGCCCTCGGCCCAGGCCCTCGGCCAGGTGGAAACCGGGCACAGTTGAGTTCTGAAGCCCGCAGCGCCCCAAACAAGGCTGTTATTTACTTTCTTTCCAGGCTCACAGCATCCTGCCTGACCTGCTCCCCCCTCAGACTTTCTTTCTCCAAGCCTGGTTCCCACAGCCTGGCCCGAGAGTCAAGTGAGGGTCTGACAGCCTGGGAGCAGTTGCTGTGCTGATAATTTAAGGGAAATCTGGGGAGGAATTGAACCCACCCCCACCCACCCCCCCGGCTGCTCTGAGGCCCGATGCTGGTTTGCTTCCTTTTTGAAATTCCAGTTCCAGGGAGCGATGGGGGTTCTGCTGCAAGCCTGGGGCTGCAGTGAGGGATCAAGGAGTCAATTCCCACAGCCCCAGATTTCCCCCAGGAGCAGATAATCCTAGAAGACCGAGAACCTCCATAATCTCTTTCAGTGATGCTTCTGACACCCAGACCTCACGATGTCACCCCCTCCCCAAGTCCTTGAATGATTCCTTATCACTGTCAGGGTAAGAACAAAACTTCTTAAGGAGGCTGTGCTGGCTTTGCCCTCTGCTTGGGGATACTTTCTTTGGCCAAAGATCCAAGACCTCTCCATTCTTTGCAGGCTGCAAATTAATGAATAGGCGGTGAGTGAAATGTTCCAAATTCTAAGAGCCAGAGTGGGTCAGAGGGCTTCTTAACAAAGTCCTTTTATTTGTACTCTAACATTAGGTAATAATCTGACATTAGCCACCGCGGTTTCACAGCCCTCTCTTGGTGAGTGAGGTCTCTCCCCTTCTCCCTCTTCTCTCCCTTCCTCTCCCTATAAAACTGGAACGACCCCTCTTTATTGGTCAAGGAGTGGATAAAAAGTGCTTGGTCCAAGAGTCACTCTGTACGTACTAAAGGGTCCCTGCTTCTCCCTTTTAAGGCAACTGCCTCCTTTTGGACTCTACAGGGTAGACAGCAATGCCAGTCAGTGATAACTTTTCCTCATTCATTGTGTGCTGAGAAGTGGACATCCTCTAATCTTTAAAAGAAGTATTACAAAGTAGTGTGCAATAAAAACATTTTCATTACAGGGTGAAGTATGTTAAGAACACATTTCCAATTTTCACTCTTCCTTTGTTAAAAATGATCTTATAGGCTCAGATTGGCACAAACCTTGTTGTCCCATGTCCCTCACCAAACCCGTTTATTAATTCTACAAGTTCTATAGGAAAGTGGCATTGTCACAACAAATGACCAAGATACCCCTGGGCCTGCCTCAGCAGCAGTGGCTGAGGGTCCCATGACTCAGCCCCTCCCAGGCTCATCTCATATCCTCCTCTTCCCTACACTCCACCCATGCATGCCTTCTCTCATATCCTTATGTTTGCTCTACGCTTGCCCACCATAGGGTCTTTGCATATGCCATCGACATGCCTATCAATAACTGAAGGGCCTGAAGTTTTATGCTGTTTGCAAACTAATGAGACAGCCACAGTTTCATGGATTCTGACAGAAGACACGAGAATCCTAGGTCAGAGACAAAGGACTTATTATTCATGGCACAGCAAGAAGCGTGAATTTCATGTTTGTGTCATTTTCAGTGATGAGAAAGCAGCCATTTTGAATTGCTGTCTGGACATTTTCTAGTATGACGACCCTGCTCACACTCAAGAGTCTGGACATTTAGGTAAGGACCTGAGCTTAGGATTCCTGCCACAAGTTCTTGCTTTGCTTTTCCTGGTGTATGTTTTAAAATAACCACTTAGAGTTGAGCCCGTGAAAGTTAGTGACCTCCGCCCCAACCACCTTATAAGTAATAGGTGCTTGTTCTCTATCTCCTGCCTGCTCGTGACCTGGGATAAAGGACTGCCCTTCTCCCTATGATGGCCGTTTATCCTCGTTTCTGGGATTTGTAAGTAAAAAGTCTTGTGACTTGACTTCCCTTGTGTGACTGTATTGAAACCATGCCTTCAGTCAAAATGACCCCAGGGTTTTCACTTCCCCCAAATGGGAGCTCTGATGCTGAAGGCGCCACTGGCCGACACCATGTGGATGGCTTGTGCCTCTTCATTCAGCAGGTCATAATCTGTATTTTCTTCATTTAACACACCAGCTGCGGGCCCCCATCACACTTCCCTTGGCCCCACGTTCCAGGGAGGGTGACGTTGGAGCAGCCCAGGTGGATGCTGTGCATGCAACGTCTTGCACCACAGCAGAGGACCTCTGGGTTTAAGAAACCCAAATCTTTTACAATGCACAGTAAGTCTGCCTCTCCTTGGACCTGCGGGGAGACATTATCTTTATTACACTGGACAGTCAACGAAGCTGCCTTTTGCTCCATGGGAAGACACTGCTTCTATCTTCCAAGGCTGTTTGTTATACAAACATCATCAAAAAGGTGGCCTGGAACAAAGACAGCCTGTTCCTCTGCTCCTAGGATGTGCAGAAATGCAAGAGACCCATGGGGAGTTGTCTCCCACTATGGCCCCTCTGTGCCCACTTCATTCCTATTCATCCTTCAGATTGCAGCTAAGCAAGCACCTTCAGAAAAGGCAGATTCCTGGGCAAGGGAAACCCCCTTAGTGGGGCTGTCAGGGTACTTTGTGCCCCTTTTCCTAGTATCCAGTGGCGTTATAATTTTACATCTTGTGTGTGGATGTCTTATTAATGTCTGCCTCCCTCACTGGACTATAAGCGCAGTAAAGGCAAGGACTGGGCCAATTCTTTTGAAGTTAATTTTTATAATTTTTTTAAAGTTTAAGTACAATTAACATACAGTGTTATATTAGTTTCAGATGTACAATATATGATTCAACAACTCTATACATTAGTGCTCATCACGGTAAGCATACTCTTAATCCCTTCACCTGTTTCACCCATTCCCCTGCCCACCTCCCCTCTGGTAACCTCCAGTTTGTTCTCTGTATTTAAGAGTCTGGTTTTTGTTTGTCTTTTGTTTGTTTGTTTTGTTTCTTAAATTCCACATATTAGTGAAATCATATGGTATTTGTCTTTCTCTGACTTATTTCACTTTGCATTATACCCTCTAGATTCATCCACATCATTGCAAATGGCAAGATTTTCTTTTTTATGGCTGAGTAATATTCCATTGTGTGTGTGTAACATGTGTATATACATATATAACCCACATATATATGTGTATATATATATAGAATCCACATCTTTATCCACCTATCTATGGATATTTATCCATTTATCTATGGATGGATACTTGGGTTGCTTCCATATCTTGGCTATTGTAAATAATGCTGCGATAAACATAGGGGTGCATGTATCTTTTTGAATTAATATTTTCATTTTCTTTGGGTAGTAGTAGAATTACTACATCATAGGGTAGTTCTATTTTTAACTTTTTGAGGAACTTCCATACTGTTTTCCAGAGTGGCTGCACC